GGCAAATAGCAAGCCTTTATAGTATGTAATTTTCGAAAGTGTGTAACACCTTCGAAAACTATGTATTGTGAACAACGATGATATTTGTACCGAAGCAAAATGCTTCGGCGAACTGCTACTTCCCCTCTTTTTTCGGCATAAAAGTGGGGGCGAGCAAAGGCCATATGGCCTTCACCCGTGTTTTTCATTTCAAACTTTCAGCTTTCAAGTTCCCTGCCCTCCAACCCTAGGTTTATATGGGAATCTATTGTTTTCATATTGTAAAATGCTTGGACGATAAAAAATCCCGTACTTGCCAGTTGAAATGAGACGTTGCATTTGCAAGACAAATAGCAAGCTTTTACAATTTACTCCTCCATAGATTGGACTCGATATTCAGTCCGTTTAGTGAACATTTATGTCACCAAATAGGTACTTTACGAGACTGTATTTCTTGTACTTTTTATTATTGTCAATTGTTGTTCTCACACACACCCAAACAACCTCCCTAGCCTATGTTTGGGAATCTGTAGAAAGTCCCTTTATTTCACCTTTAAACACAGAAGAATTTTGATAGGTACCTCCTTGGATAGAGTTCCCTAGTTGTTTTTGCCCTTTCAAGAGTTGGGTTGGGGCACATGGGCATATAATCTATGACCTGGGAAAAGTGCTAGTGAGGCATGTGGGGGAGGGGCAGGCCCTCAGATTGCAGGAATTTTACCCTGATTTGGGCTTTGAACACTGATTTTCAGGGTTTTTTTTTTGCCCCAGCGCTGATGAGAAAGTTTTTTTTTCAAATGTCTATCCTGATTTTCCTGCTAACTTTTGCGTACCAGGCCTGAATTTCCAGCGTGATTTTGCTTGGGGACCCTGAAACGAATCATACAGTACAGGGTACAGGTATAGTTGCGGAAATGCCTAGATTCAGTTTATCTGGAAAATAAATTTTCGCGCCAATCCGCCATCACCGTCAATCACGGGAATATGGCATCTTCACTGTATCCACACCACCACACACGTTCCTGACTTGATGTGTTGTCGCCATCACCAGGGTAGCTGGCAAGTGATTGGGCAATTTCAGGTGATCACACGCCGTGCCCAATCACTTGGCTAGGGCTGGCAAGATTCCACTGCGTCACTGTTGTAAACCGTGAAGCTGTGGAATCGTGCCGAAAAAAGGAGCGCATCCATCCCATTTCGTGGATGGCCCATAGGGGACCATCCACGCACGCCTGCATGGTGGGGTTTGTTGAGGCTGTCATCAACCAATCACCAACGAGTTGTGGTGACCCTCCCTTCCCCATCCCTTTCCCCCCATTCTTGAGCGCCGTGTTAGGTTAGTTGAGATTCGTTAGTGCTGTTTCTCGGCTGACTCGCCACTCCACCCTCCTAGAGATGTCCTTACTCTCGCCATGGCTGGACCCGTTGATGGCGCTGCTGCCAACGACGGAGCTGACGACATAGAGATGGAGATAGCACGCACGGGTCTAGACCTGTTGCTGTGTTTATTATCGAAAGCACCCATTCCACCGCGTAGCAAGAATCCACCCGTTACTTCTGCGACGGCTATTCCCACCGTAACTTCCGCCCCACCAGACTCAATTGTCCCCCTAGTTATTAACACCTCAACGCCACTCGATGTCACCGAAACTGTACCCACGACGGTACATGTTTCGCCGTCAACACCAGCAGCACCGTCCCTGGCTTCTCCTATGGTTAATACTCCAGATCAACCACCAGGCTTTGAGATGGCTTCCCCGGCATCTCGGCCTGTACCACTTGCATCGCAACCTACTGCTCCCGAAGTGGCGTCCCCTGCAGATCGGCCCGTTCCACCTGCATCTCACCCTCAGGCAGCTACATCGGCGTCCCCGGTTGCTCGGCTCGTACAATCGAAGTTGAAATTCCTTCGACCTTCATCAGCCCCACTGACGGCACCCACCAACGTTTCCACTCCACCCGTACTCGAAGCTGCAGCCTCAAACCAGCCGTCAGCTAATGTCAAGAAGCTTTATGCCGCTGCTCTTGATAGGTTCAAAACACGTTGGCAAGGTCAATTTGCCTGGCTGCAGCTTGTCAAAACTTCAACTGGTCTCCCTGCCTTCAAGTGTTCTGTGTGTCTAGAACATGCAGGGTTGTCTGGCAAGACCGGCAAGCATACGGAAGGTGTAGTCGACGTTCAAAAGTAGGCATTCACGCAACACGCTGCCACCAACAAGCACAAGCTCGCGAAACAATGGCAGGATCAACTCGTAGGAGCGACGAGGTAGCCGCGGATTGACGAGCATCCACTCACGCACGACAGCGAAAAGGTCCGAGTGGTGTCGCTGATGGATGCTCTACTCTTTGTCAGCAAGCAAGATGCTCCCATGGAGATGTGGGTGGGTTTGGTCCGTTACCTTGCTGAGAAGGGAGTCCCCGGATTCCCAAAGAAGGGATACGGGACATACTACACGACGTAAGTCATTATCCTAATATTGGTTGCAATTTATCTGCTTGCGATGGCCAGGGCTAACCTTCATGTTCTTGCTTACTTGTCAGGTATGGCTTCGGGGAGTTGACTCAGTCTATGGCAACGTGGCTGCAGACAACACAGCTCGAGGAGGTTCTGGCAAGCCCCTACCTCGGCATATCGTGCGATGAGAGCCCCGATCGTTGTAGAGGCAAACACCTCATCCTGTTCGTGACGTTCATTCGCAACTCATGCCTCACCACCGAGTTCATGGCGCTCCTGACGGTCGACAAGGCGGATGCGGCCTCGTTGTTGCAGTTGTTGCTGTCCCATTTGCAGGTGTGTGGCGTTGACCTGAGGCGCATCGTGGGCATCAGCACGGACGGGGCTTCCGTGATGATGGGATCACGGTCGGGCTTGGTTGCGAGGCTTCGACTTCGCATACCTCACCTCGTCTCTTGTCATTGTATTGCACACCAGTAAGTTGGAAATGTGTGTGTATGCGTTGTCTGCTTTATTCATTCATCATGTTCTAATACACTTTCCCTATGAGTATGTTTGCAGGGAGGCCCTTGCCGCCACGGATGCTGCCGAGAGCTTACCTGTCTTCAACATGATTGACAATACCATCCGTGCCATCGCCGAGCATCTGGGCCGTTCGGGTCCATGGCATCAGCGCTTCAAGGACCTTCAGGAGGTTTTCACCGAAACTTTTCTAGAGCTGCGGGGAATTCACAGTGTTCGGTGGCTATCCCATGGTGATGCCATCGCCAGGTTTGTGGCGGTCCTGCCAGCAGTCATCATAATGCTGAAGGAGTGGAACGAAAAGCTGTACTTGGTGGTGACATCGTACCGGTTCCACTTTCTCCTATTCTTCCTTTCCGACGTGCTTGACCATATGAACATTCTGAGTAGGACGTTCCAGCGTCGAGAGGTGCGTGTACATTTGTAGGACTTTCATGTCCATTGTCTATGTGTTCGGTTCGTCTACTCTCAGGTGTTTATTTTAAATTTGTCCTACCCTCCTTCTTCTGCCTTGCTTCCATCCCCCGCAGCTCGATCTGTCAGCTGTGCATACGCAGATTCGCCGTACAACTGGACATCTGGAGGCCCGTTACGTCGACTGCGGGGATGAGTTTGGCGGCGGTCTCAGTCCGAGGCTCTCACCATGGTTGGAGAAGCATGGTCCTGAAGACAAGCGGGAAGTGAACATCGAGGGCAGCGACTCCGACGGGCAGGCATGCACCTTCACATTCACACTGCATGAAGATCAGCTTGCGGACTACCCTGGACCTGGGCACCACGACGCATGCATAGACATTTGCACCGAGTTCGCTGAGCTCATCGTGGCCAACCTCCTGGATCGCTTGGGCGACCTCGACATTCTCTCGGGCGTGAGCTTGTTCCTTCACGACAATTGGCTGCACGGCAGGCACGAGCGCCAAGCGAAGTGTCAGGAGCATCTGGAGGCGCTGATCACTCTCTTCCAAGCGGAAGAGAGCGAGGAGATCGTACCTGGTGAGCCTATAACCTTTAATGTGTGTGCTGTGCCTCTAAATCCTTGTGTCATGTAACATTTCATTGATTTCAACAATGTTCTTAAATGTATGCTTGTTTTTTCTGACTGCAGGGGTCGACAAGAAGAAGGCAGTCAAGGAAGTGCGACTGCTGATCCTCGTCCTTTCACATGCACCGAAGGGTGAGCGAGGATTCCACATTAGGCTTACCGCCATGCTCAAGACCAACGACTGGCAGGAGCACTACCCGAACCTGATGCGGTTGTGGGTGGCGGTGGCGGTCCTGCCATTGAGCACAGTCGAATGCGAGCGCGGCTTCTCGCGGCAGAACGTCATAAAGTCCTGGCATCGAGGCAGCCTCAAAGATGCTCGGCTTAGTGACTTAATGTGCATGTCGCTGCTCCGTTACAAGCCTAACTGGGACGAGATCGTGGAGATCTGGCATAACTACAAGAAGCGGAAGCCGCTCAACACCTGCAACCTCGCCAGGCAGGAGGCAGATAGGAGGCGTCGGGGGAAGGAGGAGGCAAAGGCAGGAGGAGACCAGGACAACCCAGTAGACCTAGAGGAAGATGATGTAGGTGTAGCAGACAGTGGTGGTGATGATGAGGATGCGATGTGGTATTAGTGTGTGTGTGTGTGTGTGTGTGTGTGTGTGTGTGCGTGCGTGCGTGCGTGCGTGCGTGCGTGCGTGCGTGCGTGCGTGCGTGCGTGCGTGCGTGCGTGCGTGCGTGCGTGCGTGCGTGCGTGCGTGCGTGCGTGCGTGCGTGCGTGCGTGCGTGTGTGTGTGTGTGTGTGTGTGTGTGTTCGTTTGCTGAACTAAAAGGAAAGCGTTTCATTGGTTCATCTGGTGAGGTGATGCAATCAATCAGCCAGTTAAATGTTATGAACACTGATGTGAAAGTTCTTTTTCCAGATACAACACTGATTTTCCAGGGTGTTTTCACGTATGGACGCTGACAGAAAGTTTTTTTTTTTGTACCAACACTGACCAGAAAGTGTTGCCTAAAACCAATCTGAGGGCCTGGGGAGGGGGCAGCGGCGGCGCAGGTTCAGAGCTCGCTCTCGAGCAGGTCGTGCAGCACATGGGGCGCGGGCTGTGTGATGTTGTTGAGCGCCACATAGAAGTCCATGGCGTATATGCTCTTCACCGCCTCGTATGTGTCCTGCACCATGGCAGCATGGCATCAAGGAAGCATGGCTTTAAGGAAGCATGGGAGCATGCCAGCATTGCAGCATCACATCATGGCATCATGGCATCATGGCAGCATGGCAGCATGGGGCATGGCAGCAATGCAATGGAAGCAAGAGGTCTGCGGCCAGCACATAGCAGTGCCTCGCCTTGTCACACAGCCGTGCCTTGCCTTGTCATACAGCCGTGCCTCACCTTGTCATACAGCCGTGCAAGGCTGGCATCAGCGTCTGCACCCTTCCCTGTGCCGTCCTCCTCAAAAATCTCCAGCTGTGCGTTTTGCCCCGTGCCGCCCACGCGGTCCACGACAGCGCGGGTGTCGTCCAGCAGGCTCTCGACGCGGCCCACCACGTCGTACTTGATGGTCGACAGCGCACACACGTCCACCTGCCACCCGCCCCACACCCACGCACCATGCACGGGGGTGAAGGGAGTGAAGGCACATGCGTCAAACAAGACACCGTTAGCTCCACTTGACCCTCCCGTCACACTTGGTCACCATCACCATGATTCTCATCGGTTCATATAAGCAGCACTAATCAATGCTTTACAACCGGCATACGCACTCATTCTAGAGTATTCTACTTGTCAATGACTAATTGTACCATGTTTTCATACACGCAACTACATGCCCACCTGCCGTGACATCCTCACCACCTCAACCACCTGTGACTCGCATCCCAGTATCGCTCGCCTAGCCCAACGCCTGTGCCAAACCGCTTGTAATCTGCTCAGGCACAGCATTCCCACCTGAGCAATAACAACCCCACCAGGGGCACCCCCACCTGGCGCACCCCCACCTGGCGCACCCCCACCTGGCGCACCCCCGCCAGGGGCACCCCCGTGCTGTTATTTTCCTGAGGCGCAACACCCCACCTGAGGCGCAACACCCCACCTGAGGCGCAACACCCCACCTGAGGCGCAACACCCCACCTGAGGCGCAACACCCCACCTGAGGCGCAACACCCCACCTGAGGCGCAACACCCCACCTGAGGCGCAACACCCCACCTGAGGCGCAACACCCCACCTGAGGCGCAACACCCCACCTGAGGCGCAACACCCCACCTGAGGCGCAACACCCCACCTGAGGCGCAACACCCCACCTGAGGCGCAACACCCCACCTGAGGCGCAACACCCCACCTGAGGCGCAACACCCCACCTGAGGCGCAACACCCCACCTGAGGCGCAACACCCCACCTGAGGCGCAACACCCCACCTGAGGCGCAACACCCCACCTGAGGCGCAACACCCCACCTGAGGCGCAACACCCCACCTGAGGCGCAACACCCCACCTGAGGCGCAACACCCCACCTGAGGCGCAACACCCCACCTGAGGCGCAACACCCCACCTGAGGCGCAACACCCCACCTGAGGCGCAACACCCCACCTGAGGCGCAACACCCCACCTGAGGCGCAACACCCCACCTGAGGCGCAACACCCCACCTGAGGCGCAACACCCCACCTGAGGCGCAACACCCCACCTGAGGCGCAACACCCCACCTGAGGCGCAACACCCCACCTGAGGCGCAACACCCCACCTGAGGCGCAACACCCCACCTGAGGCGCAACACCCCACCTGAGGCGCAACACCCCACCTGAGGCGCAACACCCCACCTGAGGCGCAACACCCCACCTGAGGCGCAACACCCCACCTGAGGCGCAACACCCCACCTGAGGCGCAACACCCCACCTGAGGTGCTATGCGGGAGTCCATGAGGGGGCGGCTGTGGTCCATGAGGCGGCCCACGAGGCGCACGAAGGATGGGAAGGACAGCTGCCCCTCGCCCTCCCGCACCACCGCCTCCACTATGGGCCGCACCGCCCGGAACAATGCCTGCTCACACACACACGCACGCATGGAGGGGTGGTGAGATGGAGCGGGTTGAAGAGAAGTTTGGGGAGAGAGGGTGAGAGGAGAAGCTTGCAGGAAAGCAGAGAAGAATGTGCTTGCCTTTGCTTGAATCTCCCCCTCTCGCACCCCACGGCCCCAGCACCACAACTACATCCCCACATCCCGCTCCCCACATCCCCCACGCCGCATGCATGCGCCTATGGCAGACATTGCCCTGCCTCACATTGCCCCCCTGCCTCACATTGCCCCCCTTCCTCACAATGCCTCTGGCCGAACTCCCCCCCTCACATTGCCCCCCCCTCACATTGCCCCCTCCTCACATTGCCCCCCCCTCACATTGCCCCCCCCTCACATTGCCCCCCCCTCACATTGCCCCCCCCTCACATTGCTCCAGTGGTCGCGCGAGGTGGGCGCGAGGCTGTGGTGGGAGGCGAGCACGGTGGAGCGGAAGGTGGAGGCGAGGCGCGAGAAGGGGTTGCGCACAAACGTGAAGCGCAGCAGGTCCGGCCGCGTGATGATGCGCACCTGGTGGGGGCCGAGGGGGACACGGCAGGTGGCAAGGGGGGTTGTTGCGGGGAAACCTGGAACAGTAGCGGTAGCTTGTGGATGAAGATATTCGCGTAAGTACAGCGCTGGGAAGTGGTGAGGGACACAGTTAGGCACAACACGTGCGGGGGGCGCAGCGGAATGGAAATGGATGGGAACGAGAGAGAAGATTGGGTGGCAGCGAGAGAGGCAGTGGAGTGGGTGAGGCAAGGAGGGGGCGGACGGACGGCTTGGGCCTCGGTGAAGTGCAGCGCGAGCTCGTGCAGCCCGCCATCGCGGTCGTCCACCGCCACGTGGCCCTCTCGTGCCGAGGGCAGCCCCAGGCGCGCGCGCAGCCACGTGAGCCACGCCGTGGACGCCACACTGGGCACCCCGCAGTACATCACTCCCAGGCGCTCTGCGGGGGCACACACGAGGAAGGCAGGGGCAGTGGGGCAGAAGACGAGGCAGGCAGCAGTATGAGAGAGCATGGTGCACGGGGTGCAGCATGGCATGGTGGCAGCATGGGAGGTCGAGAAAAGGCAGCAGGATGGCGACATCATCGAATGGTCACATGGCAAGGGGAGTGGTGGCATGGCAAGGGAAGTGCAACTGTTGCAGAAATGGAAGGGAGGCGGTCGGCCACGAGGGTGGGGAGAGGGAGAGTGACGGCTGGCGGAGATGACGGAAGGAGTACAAGAGTACAGTGTTTAGTAATAGCATGCGGGTAATCGAAAGCAAAGAAGCAAAGAATCTCCTTTCCTCCTTGGTCACCCACCTTCCACGATGGTGTATTTAGCGAACTTGAGGTGGGTGATGGGGCGCAGCGGCGGCGAGTCACACACGGCTCGCTGCACGCGGAAGAGCTCGCTGGCAGCGCTGCCATGCGCCGCAATGAAGCGCGCCTCCGCCGACGACGAGTTCACCACGATGAGCCCCCGCGTGTGACTCAACGCATACAGCTCCGCCACCTGCCCACCCGCACACACAGGAAAGGAGCAGATGGCGGGAGGGGGGGGGAGGAAGGGTAGTGGAGACAGAGAGATTGGTGTCGGGAGGGGTGCGATATTGAGTGGAAGGGTAGTGGAGAGAGAGATTGGTAGTGCATACTCGTACCCGTGTATGCACACTTGTACCCGTGCATGCACACTCATACCCGTGCATGCAGGCACAGCAGCAGCTGCTCCGGTGTGACGCGGTTGTTGAAAGGCAGCAGCACCGCCACCTCCTCCCCCCCTCCACTGCCGCCCCCATCGCCTGCTCCTCCGCCACCCCCTGCCACGGCGCCTGCCAGCAGTGCCTGCAGGGCGGCTGCACTGGTCCCCGGCGGCAAGTTCCGCGGGCCGGGGGCAGCGGTGACGTGCTCGCCGAAGGGGCAGGTGGTGGCGCGCAGCAGCGTGGCGTGCAGCAGGGCGGGCGCACGGTGCGGGTGGAAGAAGTCGGCGACGGCAGCGGTGTGGTGGGGGTTGGAGGCGGCGAGAGTGAAGCCCTTGGAGGGGTCCTTGAGGAAGCTCATGGTCACGCGCCGCATCACACACTCCACCGCCGTCGACCCGTTGCTGCTCGGACACCCGCTGCACCCCGCTGCTGCCAGCGTCTGATCGGGACAAGAGAGCAAGAGAGGCAGGGAGGGGCGGATGGCGGGATGCGTGGTTAGATGGGTGACAGCGAGTCCATGGCTCTCACTGCCCCCACCCCACCCACTCCCACTCACTCGCCTTCTACTCTCCCCACCTCCTGCCCCCTCCCCTCGTTGAGCTGTGCGTTCCCCGTTTCCCTCCATCCTCCTCCCCCACTCACATCCACGAAGACGCCATAGGAGGCGTGCAGGCGCGTGGCGTTCTCTTGCTGCAGCAGCTGCTGCACGGGCGGCGAGGGGTGCAGCGCCGCCATGCACGCCCCCATGGCGCGCTCAAACGCACACGCGTCCGGCAGCGACTGGCGGGCAAGGGGCACGGCGAGAGGGGCAGGGTGAGAGGGGCAGGGCGAGAGGGGCAGGGTGAGAGGGGCAGGGCGAGAGGGGCAGGGTGAGAGGGGCAGGGAAGGGCATGGAGAGAGTGGAAGCGTGGAAGACGAGGAGCATTCTGATGCGAGGTGCATTGATACACAGCAGGTGCGCATGGGAGGCAGTGCGCATGGGAGGCAGTGCGCATGGGAGGCAGTGCGCATGGGAGGCAGGTGCGCATGGGAGGCAGGTGCGCATGGGAGGCAGGTGCGCATGGGAGGCAGGTGCGCATGGGAGGCAGGTGCGCATGGGAGGCAGTGCGCATGGGAGGCAGTGTGCATGGGAGGCAGTGCGCATGGGAGGCAGGTGCGCATGGGAGGCAGGTGCGCATGGGAGGCAGGTGCGCATGGGAGGCAGGTGCGCATGGGAGGCAGGTGCGCATGGGAGGCAGGTGCGCATGGGAGGCAGGTGCGCATGGGAGGCAGGTGCGCATGGGAGGCAGGTGCGCATGGGAGGCAGGTGCGCATGGGAGGCAGGTGCGCATGGGAGGCAGGTGCGCATGGGAGGCAGGTGCGCATGGGAGGCAGGTGCGCATGGGAGGCAGTGCGCATGGGAGGCAGTGCGCATGGGAGGCAGTGCGCATGGGAGGCAGTGCGCATGGGAGGCAGTGCGCATGGGAGGCAGGTGCGCATGGGAGGCAGGTGCGCATGGGAGGCAGGTGCGCATGGGAGGCAGGTGCGCATGGGAGGCAGGTGCGCATGGGAGGCAGGTGCGCATGGGAGGCAGGTGCGCATGGGAGGCAGGTGCGCATGGGAGGCAGTGCGCATGGGAGGCAGGTGCGCATGGGAGGCAGTGCGCATGGGAGGCAGGTGCGCATGGGAGGCAGGTGCGCATGGGAGGCAGGTGCGCATGGGAGGCAGTGCGCATGGGAGGCAGTGCGCATGGGAGGCAGGTGCGCATGGGAGGCAGGTGCGCATGGGAGGCAGGTGCGCATGGGAGGCAGTGCGCATGGGAGGCAGTGCGCATGGGAGGCAGTGCGCATGGGAGGCAGGTGCGCATGGGAGGCAGGTGCGCATGGGAGGCAGGTGCGCATGGGAGGCAGGTGCGCATGGGAGGCAGGTGCGCATGGGAGGCAGGTGCGCATGGGAGGCAGGTGCGCATGGGAGGCAGGTGCGCATGGGAGGCAGTGCGCATGGGAGGCAGTGCGCATGGGAGGCAGGTGCGCATGGGAGGCAGGTGCGCATGGGAGGCAGTGCGCATGGGAGGCAGGTGCGCATGGGAGGCAGTGCGCATGGGAGGCAGGTGCGCATGGGAGGCAGGTGCGCATGGGAGGCAGGTGCGCATGGGAGGCAGTGCGCATGGGAGGCAGTGCGCATGGGAGGCAGTGCGCATGGGAGGCAGGTGCGCATGGGAGGCAGGTGCGCATGGGAGGCAGGTGCGCATGGGAGGCAGGTGCGCATGGGAGGCAGGTGCGCATGGGAGGCAGGTGCGCATGGGAGGCAGGTGCGCATGGGAGGCAGGTGCGCATGGGAGGCAGGTGCGCATGGGAGGCAGGTGCGCATGGGAGGCAGGTGCGCATGGGAGGCAGGTGCGCATGGGAGGCAGGTGCGCATGGGAGGCAGTGCGCATGGGAGGCAGTGCGCATGGGAGGCAGTGCGCATGGGAGGCAGTGCGCATGGGAGGCAGTGCGCATGGGAGGCAGGTGCGCATGGGAGGCAGTGCGCATGGGAGGCAGTGCGCATGGGAGGCAGGTGCGCATGGGAGGCAGGTGCGCATGGGAGGCAGTGCGCATGGGAGGCAGGTGCGCATGGGAGGCAGGTGCGCATGGGAGGCAGGTGCGCATGGGAGGCAGGTGCGCATGGGAGGCAGGTGCGCATGGGAGGCAGGTGCGCATGGGAGGCAGGTGCGCATGGGAGGCAGGTGCGCATGGGAGGCAGGTGCGCATGGGAGGCAGTGCGCATGGGAGGCAGTGCGCATGGGAGGCAGTGCGCATGGGAGGCAGGTGCGCATGGGAGGCAGGTGCGCATGGGAGGCAGTGCGCATGGGAGGCAGGTGCGCATGGGAGGCAGTGCGCATGGGAGGCAGGTGCGCATGGGAGGCAGGTGCGCATGGGAGGCAGGTGCGCATGGGAGGCAGTGCGCATGAAAGGCAGTGCGCATGGGAGGCAGTGCGCATGGGAGGCAGTGCGCATGGGAGGCAGGTGCGCATGGGAGGCAGGTGCGCATGGGAGGCAGGTGCGCATGGGAGGCAGGTGCGCATGGGAGGCAGTGCGCATGGGAGGCAGGTGCGCATGGGAGGCAGGTGCGCATGGGAGGCAGGTGCGCATGGGAGGCAGGTGCGCATGGGAGGCAGGTGCGCATGGGAGGCAGGTGCGCATGGGAGGCAGGTGCGCATGGGAGGCAGGTGCGCATGGGAGGCAGTGCGCATGGGAGGCAGTGCGCATGGGAGGCAGGTGCGCATGGGAGGCAGGTGCGCATGGGAGGCAGTGCGCATGGGAGGCAGGTGCGCATGGGAGGCAGTGCGCATGGGAGGCAGGTGCGCATGGGAGGCAGGTGCGCATGGGAGGCAGGTGCGCATGGGAGGCAGTGCGCATGGGAGGCAGTGCGCATGGGAGGCAGTGCGCATGGGAGGCAGTGCGCATGGGAGGCAGGTGCGCATGGGAGGCAGGTGCGCATGGGAGGCAGGTGCGCATGGGAGGCAGGTGCGCATGGGAGGCAGGTGCGCATGGGAGGCAGGTGCGCATGGGAGGCAGGTGCGCATGGGAGGCAGGTGCGCATGGGAGGCAGTGCGCATGGGAGGCAGGTGCGCATGGGAGGCAGGTGCGCATGGGAGGCAGGTGCGCATGGGAGGCAGTGCGCATGGGAGGCAGTGCGCATGGGAGGCAGTGCGCATGGGAGGCAGTGCGCATGGGAGGCAGGTGCGAGGAAGGTCGGCATGGGAGGCAGGTGCGCATGGGAGGCAGTGCGCATGGGAGGCAGTGCGCATGGGAGGCAGGTGCGCATGGGAGGCAGGTGCGCATGGGAGGCAGTGCGCATGGGAGGCAGTGCGCATGGGAGGCAGTGCGCATGGGAGGCAGGTGCGCATGGGAGGCAGGTGCGCATGGGAGGCAGTGCGCATGGGAGGCAGGTGCGCATGGGAGGCAGGTGCGCATGGGAGGCAGGTGCGCATGGGAGGCAGGTGCGCATGGGAGGCAGGTGCGCATGGGAGGCAGTGCGCATGGGAGGCAGTGCGCATGGGAGGCAGGTGCGCATGGGAGGCAGGTGCGCATGGGAGGCAGTGCGCATGGGAGGCAGGTGCGCATGGGAGGCAGTGCGCATGGGAGGCAGGTGCGCATGGGAGGCAGGTGCGCATGGGAGGCAGGTGCGCATGGGAGGCAGTGCGCATGGGAGGCAGTGCGCATGGGAGGCAGTGCGCATGGGAGGCAGTGCGCATGGGAGGCAGGTGCGCATGGGAGGCAGGTGCGCATGGGAGGCAGGTGCGCATGGGAGGCAGGTGCGCATGGGAGGCAGGTGCGCATGGGAGGCAGGTGCGCATGGGAGGCAGGTGCGCATGGGAGGCAGGTGCGCATGGGAGGCAGTGCGCATGGGAGGCAGGTGCGCATGGGAGGCAGGTGCGCATGGGAGGCAGGTGCGCATGGGAGGCAGTGCGCATGGGAGGCAGTGCGCATGGGAGGCAGTGCGCATGGGAGGCAGTGCGCATGGGAGGCAGTGCGCATGGGAGGCAGGTGCGCATGGGAGGCAGTGCGCATGGGAGGCAGTGCGCATGGGAGGCAGGTGCGCATGGGAGGCAGGTGCGCATGGGAGGCAGTGCGCATGGGAGGCAGTGCGCATGGGAGGCAGTGCGCATGGGAGGCAGGTGCGCATGGGAGGCAGGTGCGCATGGGAGGCAGGTGCGCATGGGAGGCAGGTGCGCATGGGAGACAGGTGCGCATGGGAGGCAGGTGCGCATGGGAGGCAGGTGCGCATGGGAGGCAGGTGCGCATGGGAGGCAGTGCGCATGGGAGGCAGGTGCGCATGGGAGGCAGGTGCGCATGGGAGGCAGGTGCGCATAGGAGGCAGTGCGCATGGGAGGCAGTGCGCATGGGAGGCAGTGCGCATGGGAGGCAGTGCGCATGGGAGGCAGTGCGCATGGGAGGCAGGTGCGCATGGGAGGCAGTGCGCATGGGAGGCAGGTGCGCATGGGAGGCAGGTGCGCATGGGAGGCAGTGCGCATGGGAGGCAGGTGCGCATGGGAGGCAGGTGCGCATGGGAGGCAGGTGCGCATGGGAGGCAGGTGCGCATGGGAGGCAGTGCGCATGGGAGGCAGGTGCGCATGGGAGGCAGGTGCGCATGGGAGGCAGGTGCGCATGGGAGGCAGTGCGCATGGGAGGCAGTGCGCATGGGAGGCAGTGCGCATGGGAGGCAGGTGCGCATGGGAGGCAGGTGCGCATGGGAGGCAGGTGCGCATGGGAGGCAGGTGCGCATGGGAGGCAGGTGCGCATGGGAGGCAGGTGCGCATGGGAGGCAGGTGCGCATGGGAGGCAGGTGCGCATGGGAGGCAGGTGCGCATGGGAGGCAGGTGCGCATGGGAGGCAGGTGCGCATGGGAGGCAGGTGCGCATGGGAGGCAGGTGCGCATGGGAGGCAGTGCGCATGGGAGGCAGTGCGCATGGGAGGCAGTGCGCATGGGAGGCAGTGCGCATGGGAGGCAGTGCGCATGGGAGGCAGGTGCGCATGGGAGGCAGTGCGCATGGGAGGCAGGTGCGCATGGGAGGCAGGTGCGCATGGGAGGCAGGTGCGCATGGGAGGCAGGTGCGCATGGGAGGCAGGTGCGCATGGGAGGCAGGTGCGCATGGGAGGCAGGTGCGCATGGGAGGCAGGTGCGCATGGGAGGCAGGTGCGCATGGGAGGCAGGTGCGCATGGGAGGCAGGTGCGCATGGGAGGCAGGTGCGCATGGGAGGCAGGTGCGCATGGGAGGCAGTGCGCATGGGAGGCAGTGCGCATGGGAGGCAGTGCGCATGGGAGGCAGTGCGCATGGGAGGCAGTGCGCATGGGAGGCAGTGCGCGGATGGCAGCGGAGGTAGGAGGGAGGGAGTGGGGCTCACGAGGCCGAGCCAGTTGACGGCGTCCGGCGACAGGAAGAGGTGCACCGCCGTGCTGCCCCCCCCCCCCGCCCCCTCTGCTGCCCCCCGCCCCCCCGCCCTGCGCCTCCGCCGTTGAGCCCTGCGGACACCCCGGTATCACCACCTGGCCGCCATGGGGGGAGGAGGGGGAGTTGGAGGCGGGAGTTTGGGATAAAGCGGAGATAGGGGGAGGTAGGAGAGAGTGGGAGTGGCAAGCACGAGGGAAAGATGAGATGTGAGGACGCAGAGAGGTGAAGTGGACGAGGCTGGCCGGTGGGACGCAGGCATGCACGCGTGGAGGAGGGGTAAGTGACTGCGGGGAGACGAGGGGTGGGTGAGGGGTGAGGAGGGGTGAGTGAGGTGCGAGGATGAGTGTGAAAGGGGAGAGGGGTGGCGGCAACGGCAAGGAGGTGTACCGTGCGCCTGGCAAGGTTGAGCCCGCTCCTCCACGCCGCAGCAGGCAGCGCTGACTCCCGCACCCACACTCGCCGCTCCGGCCCGCCCACGAACGCACTCTTCCTCTCCCCTCTCGCCCCCCCGCCAGCCCCCGCCGTGACGTTGGCAACAGGCGTGGCAGGGGTGTCGGCAGAAAAGGAGGCGGGCGCGGGCGGCGTGAGGGAGAAGAGGTGGGAGAAGCGGACGTGCGGCATGTGGCGGTCGGCCGGCCAGACGGCGAGCGTGAGCAGCGAGCTCAGCGCCGTCATGGCGGACGCCGCGCACACCGCGTGCACCCTCTCGCCCAGCTCGCCCTGCGACGCGCGCGGCGCATGGGCATGGGCGGCGGTGGTGGGACGAGAATGAGCGAGGAGAGTGGGCGAGGAGAACGATTGAGAACTGTTGAGTGAGTGAGTGACACGAAAGAGTGGAATGCGGGAGAGAATGGGGCGGGACAGAGTGGATTGGGCGCGCGGAGGCGGAAGGGGAGGAAGGTATGCGGACATATGGGGGGAGAAGGATGGCGGTGAGGGATGGGAAATGAGATGGAGCTGACACGCACATCCGCAACGACTACAGCGTCCACGCGCTCGCAACCGTTAGATTTCGTCCCTGGAGCGCATCCACGGCTCATCTTCGTCTCCAACGTCCAGAGATCATCCGGGCCGTCATCATCCAGCTCATCAAATAGCATGCCGCGTGGTCGCAAGCCCGCATCGTCGTCCTCGTCATAGTCGGTCGCGATATCGAGCGCAACCAGCGCGAGCGCCATCAGCACCCCCGCCGCCAAGACTCGCCTCCAGCCGCACGGCGCGCATCGCAGCGCCGCCATGCGCCGCCCCATGGCGGAACGTACGGTTACTGCGCGCAATTCGGTGCCGATGGGTTTCGAAGTACAGCGTGGCAACTAGCGCGGCACTCAGCACGGTCGAAGCGATGGTGCATCGCGGCAACGCATGGTGGTGAAAGAGATGCTACGGCTACGAGCGTCGCGCTGTCGTCGTGCGACGGCTCTTGCGACTGCTGCGACACACCTCGATGCGAAGGCGAGCTTGGGCACGTAAGACAGGGGCAGTCGAGTGGCAACAAAGCGTGGGGTAGGCGACGCGCGTAGTGCGGCAGATTGAGTTGACGAATGAACGGGGACGAACGATTAGAGGCCGTAAGATTCGGGTGTCAGTGATGCGCTCGTGGTTTGCCAGCCTGTTCTGACATGGGGATAGTAACGCGACGTGTTCTTACTGTTATGGGAGAGAGCGAGAATTGCACTATCGAAGCAAAACATGACATCTAGCGAAGGAATGAGCTGATTAAATGGCTGTAATGAATATACAATTCATTACTGCCGAAGCTGCCCTTAGCGAGGACAGCCCCGAACACTGCGCGCAAGTTTCCGGTTCGGCCTACATTTCGGCCCGACCACTGCCGAGTCACCCCGCACCAATCACGACACATCCAACCCTCGCACGTCACGAGGTTCTCGCCTAGCACATATTCGCCCTGTAAATGGTCGCCTTATTCATTATATCCTCATTCTGTAATTTTTAGATATATATATATATAAAGTCTTCTGCGCACTCTGTTTAGTACAACTCATAGCGCTTGGTATCAGAGCTTCTTTCCTACCTCACCCCGTTTTTAGAGTGTAATACCCCTCGGAGGGGGGGGGGGGGGGGGGGGGGGGGGGGAGAGACAGGGAATGAATGACGCCGTGAGGTCCAGGAGCTGCGCGAGAGCCGGCCAGGAGAACGGGTAGTTGCTCCTGTGAAGAAATGAGGAATGGAGTTTCACTAGCAAGCAGTTGGGTACATACCGTAATACCCCGGATAGAAGCGCACCTGCGCTTATAATAAAACATTGTTTTTTGGGGGGGTGCGCTTATAATTGAGTCAGATTTATAAGCGCATGCGCTTGTATAAAGGGAAAAATGAAAATCAATTTTGAACACACCATTGTGAAGCTCTCAATAAGGCGAATTCAACCGACCATGCACCAAGTGGGATCGTGCATGGTTTTCAGGCAGAAACCGCAGCGGTTCGGTTTACCACCGCACAATGTTGTCTGGAAACATAGAATGTGACAGCCGTGACGATGATGTTGTCGTGCGGCCCAATCAGAGCCGCATGCGCTGCGAGGCATGTGCATTCGGGCAGAACCATCTCGAAGGTTCGGCAAGATTCTCTGCCAGCGCAGCGTAGATGCTGCCACGCAGGCGCCTCTACGGGAGTGGGCGGGGGTTTCCTGCCTGTCATCGACGAGGAACCCGAGCCGTCACACAGCAGGGGTCACCGTCGTTGCCCATTTCTTCACCCTCTTCTCTGATTTTTTCATTCAGTTCCTTGTCAACCCCGCCTGGCAGGCGAAGCCATGGCGGAATTTAGTGGGACGAGCATCCTCTTCAAGAAAAAGCCACGCCGCACATGGCGACTTACCGAAGACGGGTGGTATACCCGTGAGCCACCAGCGCCTCCAGTGCCACCGGATCCCCCTGCACCCCCTGCTCCTCCTGCTCCCCCTGCACCCCCTGCTCCACCCGCTCCTCCCGCACCTCCCGCTCCTCCGAATCCGCCTGCTTTTGCCACGGCAGGTGCTCACCAACGGCCCGTGCTCCAACTGTATTTACCAGCCACGTTCGACGAATGGTTGGCTGAAGCGGACACACCGAAGGCCCGCGATGCACGCATCCAAGCTCCAGCGACTGCACCACGGTGGGGACAACCAGAATCCTGCGCGTGGGATGAGTCGGCTGTGGGCGCCGACGATGATGTGGCTACCGATAAACATGACAGCGGCGCCGGCGAAGCTGGAGGCGACGGTGAAGCTGGTGGCGACGGTGCAGCGGGCGACGAGGAAGACGTGTTCCCCGACCGTGACGAGGACGAGGACGGTGTGGAGTCCTGGTGGCGCGACGCACCACGCGGGAAGATGCCGGTACCGACATATCCGCCCCTTAATAAAAAACGCCCCCACCCGTCTACCGAGAATCGAGATGCCCGCCCCCCCTCCCCCAGGCACAAGCTGAATCAACATAAGCGGCAGTCCTACACCGCCCAGGAGAAGTTGAGGTGGCTCGTGCGGCTCGAGCTTGCGGCTTCGGTGAGCGAAGTGGCGCGGGAGTCAGGCATTCACCGAAAATGTCTGACAGAATGGAAAGCCCAAGCGGATGCGCTCAAGGCTGCACACGGAGCACGGATGCGACTTCACGGGCGCGGGAGGTCGTCTTGGTACCGCCCCATGGAGTTAAAGGTGTACGCGCAACTCCTCGACTGGCGACGCCGCGGAGTTGCGGTTTCGGTCGGCCGGCTGCAAGAGTGGTCCAAAGAAGTGATGAAGGTTCTATACCCGGACGTCAAGTGGAAAGCCAGTCAGCGGTGGACGGAGCGGTTCCGCAGGCAGTGGAACCTCAGCGTGCGCATGAAAACAAAGGTGGCACAGAAAACACAGGAGCGTAAGTGGGTCGTTTACTGCTGATTTTGGTGGGTACCCGATTGCGCTTAGTTTTTTTCGCATGTCTCCTATGCGTCATACTAATTTGGTTTACTGTATGTACCTTTCTCCCTGTTCTGCAGACGTGGCTGAGCAGTGCAATGATTTTTGGCAGTACGTACGTGACGCCCGTCACGAATACGACATTGACAACCGCTACATCATCAACGCCGACCAGACACCGCTGTGGTTAGAGATGCCGGCGACGACCACCGTGGAGCAGACGGGCGTGAGGTCGGTGCCCATTCGCAGCGGTGGGTACCAGAAGGAGAGAGTGACCGTCATGCTTGCGTGCACGGCGACGGGCGAGAAGCTGAAGCCGTGGGTGTTTTTCAAGCGCAAGACACTCCCCAAGGGTGACTTCCCGAACGGTAAGTGATCGTCCACCGTGTTTATTCCCGTTACTACCTGAGTCGTTAACTGTTCTTTTTCGTTGCGTGCAGATGTTGTGGTCGGCTGCCAAGCCAACGGGTGGATGGAGGCCGCAGGCGTCATCGAGTGGCTCAACACGGGCGTGGTGCCGTTCCTGAAGCCGAAATTCGGCCTGCAGAGTCGTAGCGCCATGCTGGTGCTCGACTCGTATCGCGGTCACCTGACACCAGAAGTCAAGGCGAGATTCGCGGCGCTCAACATCGTGCCTGCTATCATTCCGGCGGGTTGCACGGCAGACCTGCAGCCCCTCGATGTGTCGATCAACAAAAGCTTCAAAGCAAGCATTCGTCAGCAGTACCAAAATTGGTTTGAGGAGGACGGCATGAACATCCTGACCCCGGCAGGTGAGTGACGGCATGTGCTCCCGTCTGCAAATCTTGAGCTTGAATGCATGTTTACTTGTCTCATGTTTTCCCCGCCCCACTCCGTGTGATGCAGGGAACATCAAGAAACCACCTCCGGAGGTGGTGCTCAAGTGGATTTCACGGGCCTGGAAGGCGGTGCCCGCCGACCTCATCAAGAAAGCCTTCCTCACTTGCGGCATCAGCAACGCCCTTGATGGGAGCGAAGACAAACTGGTGCTAGCGCACCGAAGGTGCCAGTTGTCCCATGAGGTGGAGGTGGACGACGACATCCAGGCAGATGGGTTCTGGGGCAACAACTCCACGGAGCCTGAGTCGGACGAGGAGGAAGAAAAGGCAGTAGGGTAGACTAGGCAGGTTGAAAGGTGTAGTGCAGGACAGCAGAGACCACCCTTGTATGTGATAGTCATTCTTAATGGAAAGTTTAGAACATGTAGGCTAGGTAGGTTAAAAAAAATGAAATTCTTTTTTTTTTTTAACTAAACGAGTGCGCTTATAATAAGTCAAGAATTCCAAAGGGGTGCGCTTATAATTGAGGATCGGCCATAAGCGCATTGCTCCAGATACAAGCGCATGCGCTTAACATAGGCCTGCGCTTCTATCCGGGGCCATACGGTATAGCAAACCCTAAATTGGGCTGTACTCACTATTGAATACCCCACTGCAGGCTAGACAAACATAACATTCTGACACACCCCCATAGCCAAAGTGGGGTGTAATCAGCACAACAAGCAAGCAAAACACAAGCTCAGGGTGGATCACAATGTCACCACACAATCTGAGCACAAGTACAAGAAGCAACAGTTTAAAGTTCACAAATGTAAGCAAAGCTAGAGGCTATCACCGAGGGCAAGTGTGGAGGAGGGACTATGAGAGGAGAGGAGGTAGTGGGCGGCAGCTGAAGCTGCTGGCACACGGTGCAACTGGAGCAACTGGCACACGGGCAACTGGAGCAACTGGCACACTGGCAACTGGAGCAATTGGCACACGGGCTACTGGAGTAACTGGCTCCGCGGCTAACTCTGAGCGGCAGGAGCAACGGACTCACGGGCGACTGGAGCAACTGGCTCACGGGCGACTGGTGCAACGCGCTCACGGGCGACTGGCGCAACGGTCTCACGGGCGACTGGAGCTGCGGGCTTCACGGCGGCCACCCCCTTTCAACCTCCCCAAACTATCCCACCCCCCTTTCACACACCCCCTACTGCACCCTAGGTTCACTCACACCCCACCCCCTAGCACCACTTCGTCGACTCCCACACACCCACCCCCCTCAGCGGCAGCTGCAGCAGTGGGAGACAGAGGAGGAGGAGGAGCAGGAGAGACCACACACCTGCCACCCCCCACCCGCCACCCCCAAACCCTAACACAGGGCAGGGCCGGGCGACGGGTAGGGAGGTTACGGGGGGGGGGGGGGGGGGGTGACGCGCGGCCTCCCAGGGCGCCAAAACAGGCGGCAGAAGGGGCGACGCTCGCCCCCCCCCCCCCCCCCCCCCAGGTCGCCGTGGCCCCCTCAGATCGCCTCGACAGGCGACGGGAAAAGAGGGGGGGG